CTTTGCCGTATTCCCCCATCCACTGTGCTTGACAAGTGAACATTAAACAAATCTGTTACCAGTTAACATTTTTGGTTAATAAAACTATAGGAATTATTTCACAAAGAAAATATGTAAAGCAGTATTAAAATCTGAGTTATGTATCTAATAAATGGGTTTGTTTGTTTTCCTGCCAGTGGCAGTAAATACGTTCTTGGGATTATTTGTCATGCTGTTTCTTCATTACTTGAAGAAAGCCCTTTAAATTGGGCAGTGGTGGTGCACACCTTTAATCCCAGCACTCGGGAGGCAGAGGCAGATGGATCTCTGTGAGTTTGAGACCAGCCTGGTGAGTTCCAGAACAGCCAGGGCTACACAGAGAAACTCTGTCTTGGGAAGAAAAAAAAAGCCCTTTAGATCCAAGGGCAATCCCTTGCCCCCCACCACCACTGAGTCACGATGATAGTTCCAAAAAAAGCTCTTTCCACTTAAATAAAACAACTTGTTAAACAGCTACAAGAAATGGGTGTGTCCAACTGGACCATTGGGAAGCAGAGACAGAAGGGTTATCCTTGGCTACATAAAGACTTGGAGGCCAGCCCAAGCTACATAAGACACTGTATAAAAAGAGAGAGAAACAAACCTCGCATGTCCTGGGTGTTAGGCCTTGGAAGTATTGATGGAGTGGCCTATAAGAATGTCAGCAGGAACTAGATATATAGTTCAGTGTCGCAGTGCTTGCTCAACAGGTGCAAAGACCTGGGTTCAATTAGCACCACTGCACACATATGCACAAAGCCAGCAGCAACTTCTGAGGTTCGTGGATTTGGACATTGTTTGGGAATGGTATGGCTTGCTTGGGAATGATGAAACAAGGAAAAGACACAGAGCTGGGTATGGTGGCAAATACCTAATCCCTGCATTGGGAAGGAGGCAGGAGGATCAAAAGTTCAAGTCTTCCTTGGCCATATAGCAAGTTTGAGACTAACCCGGGACACAGGAGAGAGAACCTGTCTGGAAAGAAGCTAGAGAGAGAGCTCAGTCAGGAAATGCGTTTGATCCCAGGATCCACAGAGGTGAGTTTGGTGACTCACTTGCCATATTAGTGGAGGAGACAGGCAGGCCCCTAGCGGCTAGATGACAGCTGACCTGACCTACTTAGCAAGTGAAAGAATTTTACAAAGGTGGATGGTACCTTAGGAATGACACCTGAGCTTGTCCTCTATTCTGAACATGTACCTGCACCTGCGTGTGTGCATACATAAATACCCAGCACTAGGAGGCTTTGATCTCTGTAAGGTACCACTGCTAACCAGAAGGCAGGATGCTACACATTCAGGTAATATAGTGGATTTTGGAGATTGGAGAGAGACAGGTGGAGACATGTTGGTGGGAGCCCCAAGCATTCTATAGTAAAAGTGCAGCTGACAGACAGGTCACTAGACAAACTCATGGGTGTGCATTTCAGTGAGGAACCCCGTCTGTCTCTTGAACAGTCGCTGTCAACTCTGTAGAACTCTTGTAAAGCCACGGCTTTCCCCCTCTTCCTTAGTGGGATTAATCCCAAAATATCCCAGCAGTGTGTAAATCATTCTTTAAATGTGACTGATCCCACACTATGGAGCCAAACCTTTATTCATAGTCAAGTCTACATAAAGCTAGGCCCCCACAATTCTTATTGACAGGACTTATTGACAAGAAAAGGACCCTGATGGGGACTGGAGAGATGGCTCAGTGGTTAAGAGCATTGCCTGCTCTTCCAAAGGTCCTGAGTTCAATTTCCGGCAACCACATGGTGGCTCCCAACCATCTGTAATCAGGTCTGGTGCCCTCTTCTGGCCTGCAGACATACACACAGACAGAACATTGTATACATAATAAATAAATAAATATTAAAAAAAAAAAGGACCCTGAGCAGGGGAGGCAGCATATCTACCCTTACTGATAAAGAGGTCTGGGTGTCCCTAAAAGCTCCAACAACCAACTCAGGAGAGTGACCTACTGGCCTTTGTTCTACCCGAACAAGCTAATAAAGTCTGTGCTTACCTTCACCTTTCATTTGGCACAAGGTTTTAATCTAGGAAATTAACTATATTTACCTTTACCTCTAATACAGAAAAAAAGGGCTGGAGATGGCTCAGAGGTTAAGAAAACTGACTGCTGTTCCAGAGGTTCTGAGTTCAATTCCCAGCAACCACATGATGACACACACCCATCTATAATGAGATCTGGTGCCCAGAACACTATATACATATTAAATAAATTAAAAAATATATACAGCCGGGCGATGGTGGCACACACCTTTAATCCCAGCACTCGGGAGGCAGAGGCAGGCAGATCTCTGTGAGTTCGAGAACAGCCTGGTCTACAGAGCTAGTTCCAGGACAGGCTCCAAAACCAGAGAAAGCCTGTCTTGAAAATCAAAAAAAAAAAAAAAAAAAAAAAAAACCCAAAGCCACAGAGAAACCCTGTCTCAAAAAACCAAATATATATACAAAAAAAAGAAGCTTGAGTTGCTAAGCCAGCCCCAGAGAAAGGAATTCTTTCTCACCTGTATCAACAAGTACAGCAGCCTGATGCTTAGCAGGTATCAGCATCCTAATCCTCCTGGTATCTACAGGGGAACTTCACAGCCATGCCCCTTTTGAGACATAGGCGCCTACTTTGTCAGTCTGCATCCATCTTGTTAGCTCTAAGAAATGCATACTTGGTACCACTGTTACCACATATGGAATGGTTAACTCTATGTGGGTGGGCATATAAACTGGAAACCTTGTGGGACTGCGAGGAACACTGAAGAGGAACACCGAGAGGAAGCCAACAAGAAAGCACTGGAGAGGGCATAGAAAGAATGGGATGTGATAAAAAAAGAGTTACAAGAATTAATTTATTTACCCTCAGACCTTTTTGTCAGTTTTCGCCTTCGATAATGGTCGTCAATCCTGAGAGGTTTACAGGGGCTGGCACCCCAACATTAACCTCAATAACATGCTATCCTGACTAAGGTCAGTAGATTACCACAAGTTCAAGGCCAGCCTGTCTCAAGGTGGGGATGGGAGGCACAAAGATTGAAAATGGCTCCAACCCAACAGAGGGAGAGTGTCCAGAAGATTGATCACACAAACTCTTGGAAGAATACTGGGCTTCCAAGTGACTTCATGAAACACCATCAAACTATTCTGTTCACACCAGAACATGAGAGACACGTTTTTTCCCTGTTGGTGGAAGTTTCTGTCTGTCCGGTCCCACAATAAACACACAGAAACTGTATTATTTGGAGTACTGTGTGGCTAATTCTTTTTTTCAAAATAAATGCAAAGTTTAATGAAAATGGGTACAAAGTGGCTAGAAAGGAACAGAAACAAGTCAATGGGTAGAGGAGTAAATGGATTAACAACTGGAGTGGTTTTAGAGATGTATGGTAACATAATAGACAAAACAGACAGCCCCAGACAAGGGGAGTCCACACACCACACAGACACACCATATACAGGGCCAGTTTGTATAACCACAAGGCGCCTGGATTCAGGCCGCCCAGCATGAGGGACAACACACACCTTGGTTGGCCTGGGATACAGCTTCTTGATGGCTGTTGGGATTTTCTTCTTAGTGCGGAGAGAAATCAGTCCCCAGTCATGCTAGGCAAGTTGTCCAGCAATGAGTCACATGTCTAGCTTTTATTTTTTAACATGGGGTCTTGCTAAATAGCCCAGGTTGGCCTTGAACTTTTGATTCTCCTGGCTCCCAAGTGATGAGATTATAGGCATGTGCCACTCTGTCTTCTGATTAGTAATCCACACTTTTACAAACTCTCAAAATTGTTAGGCTAGCTACAGAACTAGCTACTGAGTGTACGATTTTGAATATCTGCTGTATGACTACCTCCCATCACAGTAGTTTCAAAAACATCATCTTAAAGTAAACAATGTCCTGCAACAGAAATTCTCTATTTAGTATTAACTTGAGGTGACAGACGATTGTGGGGGGATGGAGAGCTGTCACAGCAGTCAAGAGAACTTGCTGCATTTGACAAAACACTCATACACTTTAAGTTACTCTAAAAATTATGTGTGTGTGCCCACATGCGTGCGCACACGCGCGTGCATTAGTCCATGGAGGTTAGAAGAAGGCATAAGAGGACCTGGAACTGGGGTTACACAAAGCTGTGAGCTGCCATGAGGGTGTTGGAAACTCAAATCTGGTTCCCTGGAAGAACAGCAAGTTCTCTTGACTGCTAAGCCATTTCTTTAATTTTTTTTTTCCCGAGACAAGGTTTCCTCTGTGGCTTTGGAGCCTGTCCTGGAACTAGTTCTTGTAGACCAGGCTGGCCTCGAACTCGGAGAGATCTGTTTGTTCGGAGATTACGCCACTTGTAACACTAGACTGGGTGTGGCAATACATTTTGTAGTCTAGCTTCAACCGCCATTTTACAACAGTATTGTAAACGCAAAGACAAATAACATCCAATTCTTTTTTTTTTTTTTTTTTTTTTTGTTCTGCCGAAGAGGGCACCAGATCTAATTACATGATGGTTGTGAGCCACCATGCAGTTGCTGGGAATTGAACTCAGGTCCTCTGGAAGAGCACTCAGTGCTCTTAACCTCTGAGCCATCTCTCCAGCCTCATAAAATCTAATTCTTAAAACGCACTTTTTACCTGCGTGGTGACTCAGGCCTTTAATCCCAGCACTCGGGAGGCAGAGACAGGCTGACCTCTATGAGTTCGAGGCCAGCCTGGTCTACAGAGCGAGTTCCAGGACAGGCTCCAAAGCTGCACACAGAAATCCTGTCTGGAGAGACACACACAAAAACAATTAAATAAATAAAATAAAATTTAAAACATAAAGAACATCCCCGCACTTTTCAGGGCCCGCTATTCCTAGACCGAGGCACCGGCAGTTGCTCGCGTGCACTCCAGGACCTTCGGGAGCGTAGCAAAGGCGTTTTCCTACCGCCGTAAACGTGCGTCAGCAAGTCCGGTCACGTGGACGGCCAGTCACGTGACGGCGACAGCGCCTGGGAAACGCCGGTGGCCAGGCAAGATGGCCGCGCACCTGTCGTACGGGCGGGTGAACCTGAACGTGCTGCGCGAGGCGGTGCGCCGCGAGCTGCGCGAGTTTCTGGACAAGTGCGCCGGGAGCAAGGTGAGGGCCCAGGCGGTGACCAGGCCGCTGCTCCGTGACAGCCCCGAGCTCCCTTCCAGTCTGGAAGCACCCACGCCCACAGCTCTCTCCACTCACGTTGTGGGAGAGGATGGAATTACTTGAAACTTTGAAAAGTTGGCCTTTAACACGGATCATCTTGCTTATTAAAGCACCCGCTTTACAAGGAAGCCGGGCTTGATAGAATTTCCTTCCCTTTTTTCTTCATTGTTAATTTGAGGCGGAGTCTCACTGAGCCCTGGCTGGCCGCGAACTCACCGAGATCCTCCTGCCTCTACCTTTGGGTGCTGGAATTAAAGGCTTGTGCACGGCTCTGTTTTATTTATTTATTATTTTTTGAGTCAATTCCTGCCGGCATAGATTGTTCCTGGTTGTGTAAGCCAGGTTAGCCTCCAGCTCCTCATTCTCTTGCCTCAGCCTACCAAGTTCTGGCATTACAGACATGAGCCTTCCTTTACCTAGCTGAGAAATTTTCTTTTAAGCATTATTTTTTTCCTCTATTCTGAGATTTGTGAATCATTCTCTAGGGAACTGTCAGTGCTAATCTGAAGAGAAATATAAAACCGAGGCTCCTACAGAACCAGTTTTGGAAAAAAATGGGGTCCCAAGTAAGATGATTGCTTGCTGCTATTGAGTCAGGAAGGCAGCAGGAACCCAGATTCGACCGCAGACGAGGCTGAGATCCGACAGATAGAATAGATTATCAGGACACTAGGATTATGACTGTGGTGTTGTATCAGTTTTACTAAGTGTCACTCCCGGAGGAAGCAGGGATTACTGGACCTTGGTAGCACACCTGCCCCCCATGAAAGTTTTATTTCCACCTTTGGGCTATGAATGTGATCTTATCTTTGAATGTGTAAAAATCTCAACTCCAAATTTTAGGAATGAGGAGCTGGTTCAGTTCCCAGCATCTACAGGGCTGATAACCACCTGTAACTCCAGATCTCACCCTTCTGCCCACACAGGCGCATTCCCAAAGACAGACACACACAACTGCACATATTAAAATAAATCAAAATGGGAGTGGGGTGCAGGGAAAAATAAACCCTAAAAAATGTATTCCTACTGTGTATAACTGCCATTTTCTGCCACTGTTGTCGGGATTCCTGAGACTGTGGCAGAAGGGAGCATCTCTCCTCTCTTGCAGGCCATTGTGTGGGATGAGTACCTGACCGGACCCTTTGGACTGATCGCCCAGTATTCGCTTCTCAAGGTAACGTGACCCATGGGATCTCTTCAAGAGTTACTAATGAAGTGAACTTCGTATTGGTAATGGGATTTTTATCTCTTCCTGACTAATCACTCACAAAGCTATTTAATCTGTGCAAACCCCGCTATTAAGACATGGTTAGTGTTCTTTGCAGAGGGTGCTCTTCAGTGGTCGTGTACTTCCTGGCATGCACAAGGCCCTGGAATTGATGTCTGGCACCATGGGGAAGGAACAAGAACAAAAAGCATTTTGCACACAGTACTGTCTTGTGTGGCCCTGACCTGGTGCCTTTGATGGTTTCCTGTGCCAGCAGTTAGACTACCATGCAGAAATAATGGCTTTGTCTTGAAGCTTGGTCCTTTATGTGATTGAATTATTTATAAGTAATATGAATTATTTATAAAGTTTTTAACTAACCTTTTGTGTTTGCTTCCCTAGGAACATGAAGTGGAAAAAATGTTCACACTTAAAGGAAATCGATTGCCAGCAGCTGATGTCAAGAATATCATCTTTTTGGTCAGACCCAGGCTAGAATTGATGGATATAATTGCCGAGAATGTGCTCAGGTACATCAGAGCTTTGCATTTCAAGAGGACTTGGGCTTTAAAGGGGTTTTTTATACTTACTTTCTTACTTTGGAGATGGGTGTGTGCCATGGTGCTTGCATGGAGGTCAGAAGAAAGCTGGTGGGAATGGCTTCTCTTCCCCCGTGGAGTCCAAGGGGTTGGACTCATCAGGTTTCCCCTGCTGAACTTTTCCTGCCCAGAAGTTGTTTTTATAGTGACTTTAATGCTCTGAGCACCTGTGCCTTGTAGCACCCTCTTGCCAGAGTGTCAGAAGGCCATCTTTTGGGAGAGTAGGAGCAGATGTGGCAGGATATTAGGGGAGAGGCAGGAGGCTTGTGAAAGAGCTCTGAGGAGCTGGAGGGAAGTAACTTCCCTCTCAGGATAACTGAAAGTTCAAACCTGTATCAGCAGAGCAAACCCTGCCTTGAAAAACATAGCAACCAAAACTTCTAATGGTCATTCTCTTTTTCAAAATGCCAAAATGTAAAGTGTTAGAATTTCATAAGCAAAATGAGTAAGTAAGAACTGGTTAAAGTTTACTGTTGGATCCAATCTGTAGAGGAAGTTCTCAGCACAGGCTGCACTCTGCTACAGTTGATTGATGCAACCCTGAAAACCGTGGCTGCATATGGGCCAATTTGGAAGTCCACAAACAAGGAGATCTGTTGTGAGATCTGGGTTTTTTAGTTCTCTCTGCCTGTCTCTTTGTCTCTGTATCTGTCTCTCTCTTTCTCTCTGTGTGTGTGTCTAGACTAGAAAAGGGTGTTGGATCCCCTGGAACTGGAGTTACAGACATTCATGAATCATGTGATGTTGGTGCTGGAATCAAAGTTTGATTAAAAGTTTGGGTATGAGAGAGAGTCTGGTGTTTTTTAAGATATGCTTATTCTATGTATTTGCATTTGCCTGACTGTTTATGTGTGCACTGTGCAAGTGCCTGATGCTTGTGGAGGCCAGAAGAGGGCGCAAGATACCTTGGAACTGGAATTGTAGATACTTGTGAGTTGCCATGTTGATGCTGGGAACCAAACCGGTGTCCTCTGGAAGAGTAGCAAGTGCTCTTAACCTCTGGGCCGTCATCTCTCCAGTCCCTTGAGAGTCTGTCTTTCTGTGTTTACTTAAGCAATGTTTATTTAGTGCCTGCCAGGCAGTGAGGATGAAATAAGAAAAACCTTTGACTCTAAGCAGCACACAAGCTAATAAAGTTTACTTCCTTTGCAGTGAAGACAGACGTGGCCCTACCAGGGATTTCCACATTTTGTTTGTGCCACGCCGGAGCTTGCTGTGTGAGCAACGGTTGAAGGACCTGGGTGTTTTGGGATCCTTTATCCATCGAGAGGAATACAGTTTAGATCTCATTCCGTTTGATGGAGACCTCTTATCCATGGAATCAGAGGGCGCATTCAAAGTAAGGCTGACATTTTCCTAACACCAAACTCATGTTTTAAAGGCAGGGTCTCACTGTGTGGCCCTGGCTAGCCTAGAACTCACAATATAGGACAGGCTGACCAGGAACTCACAGAGACCCACCTGTCTCTGCCTCCTGAGTGCTGGGATTAAAGTTGAGCACCACCATGACTGGCCTTTAGACTTTCATTTTTGTTGGGATGATAACGTGGTAAGGCCCATCTCCCATGTGTACGAATGTCCAATATGTTCACTTTGGCAAATTTCCTGCTCATTTTTTTTCTGCCTACTTCTCCTTCTCTTCCTTTTCTCGTGTATATGGCACGGGTGTGTGCAGAAGAGGACATCAGCACTGTCCCTCTCCATCTCCCTGACCTGAAGCTGAGACTGGCCGCCAGTAGGTTCACACATCCTCCCACCTGCGCCCACAGCTCCGGCGTTACACAGGTGTCTGTTTGGTCATTTTCACATGTGTGTGAAGATTTAAGGTCGGCTTGAACAACAAGAGCTCTTAGCCACTGAGCTTTCTCTCCAGACAGCTCCCCCCAACTTCACCCCAGTTTTTAAAGGGTTTGCCTTGCTCTGTGGTCTGTGATGGCTTTACCTGCCATTCTCCTACTCAGCCTTCTAAGTGCTCTGATTATGGACCTGCTGGTTCCCATTGTTCTTTCTGTTTGTTTTTGATATTTTGTTTAATGTTCATTCATGGATATAATATATTTGTCCCAAATCTGTTTTGCTATTTTAGGACAAGGTCTCATGTAGCCCAGACTGGCCTTGAGTTCCTTATTCTTCTTCCACTTTTCAAGTGCTGGAATTGCAGATGTATATAACCATACCTGGCTGGCTTCCACTTTTTGGTTTTCAGGGTTTATTTATTTATATTTATTTTTTAATTATTTATTTATTGTTTTCTGAGACAGGGTTTCTCTGTGTAGCCCTGGCTGTTCTGGAACTCACTCTGTAGACCAGACCAGGCTGACCTCACACTCACAGAGATCTTTCTTTTTTTTTTTTTTTTTAAATATTTATTTATTTATTTATTATGTATACAATATTCTGTCTGTGTGTATGCCTGCAGACCAGAAGAGGGCACCAGACCTCATTACAGATGGTTGTGAGCCACCATGTGGTTGCTGGGAATTGAACTCAGGACCTCTGGAAGAGCAGGCAATGCTCTTAACCGCTGAGCCATCTCTCCAGCCCCTCACAGAGATCTTTCTGACTGCCTCCCGAGTGCTGGGATTAAAGGTGTGCACCCCACATTGGCTAGGAATTCTTTATATAATATTTTAGTTTCACTGTCATCCACATGCTGTAGAAGTCACTCCTTTATTTTTAAGGATTTCTTTCTTTTGATTCTTTACTAGGTTGTTGCTGGGGTTTTGTGTGTGTGTGTGTGTGCGCTTTGGGTATTTTGTCTACAAGTATGGATGTGTACTACATGTGTTTCTGGTGTCCACAGAGGCCTGAAGAGTGGGTCAGAATTGAAAATGATTGGGAGCTGCTGTGTGGAGGCCAGAAATTGAATCCAGGTCCTCTAGAAAAGCAGCCATTGCTCTTAACCACTGAGCCATCTCTCCAGCCCCAAATTCACCGCTTTAAAGTCTTCAGTTAAACACCTACTGTCACAGCTCCTGGGAAACTGAGCACAACTGAGAGCTGAGGCCAGCTTGACCACAAAAGGGAGACTTCAAAACAAACAAACAAAACAAAAACCCCAATAATTAAAGCAATAATTCGAAAGTTTTGTAAATAGCTAGCCATGGTAGCACACACCTTTAATCCCAATAGGCAGATGCAGGCAGATTTCCTGGCCTCCTGGTCTGTATAACGAGTTTCAGGATAGCCAGGACTACATAGTGAGACTCTGTCTCAATCCTGCCCTGCCCCAAGAATCTCTAAACATATGTCACATAGTACTTTTTTTTTAGTTAGAAAGGACACAGAGTGATGAGGAGGCCATTTTCCCCTGAGTGTTCGACCTCTTTGCGGAAGCCACACCAAGCTCACCTCTCACTCTTTTGTTTTAGTGGGTTTTGAGAATTCTTTTAAGTTCTTTTTCAGACAGCCTTTCTGCAGCCCTCACTCATAGCACATACAATCTTTGCCTGTATGTTCCCCAGTTTTAGGGCAGAGAGTTATGACTGAAAGAAATGCCACCCCCAGTTCTGATGGAGCTTACTTGATCCTAAATAGTTCAGCGCAGCCTGGTGTTTCCTAGCTCCTGGAGAGACATTGAGAGATGTCAGATCTTTGTGTGCTTCTGGCTTTATTGTGCGGTGTGTAAAATCTGAGACGGTGCTCACCCCACTGAATGTTCAGTGCCAGCACATAGCGTTAGCACCTTCATTTTCCTAACTAAAGACTGGTATATCTAAAGTCAGACAGCCTAGTAAGAGACTACAGGGCTTCTGTTGTGTGGGTGAGTAAGTTTGGCGCCCAGAATATGAGCTTTTAAATATTGATGTGTAGTAGCATTCATCCTAAAATGTCCTTGTAGCTTGAAATGCCACGTGGGGTTTCCTATGCAAGGAGTGGGCTGCTAATGCTTAGCACTCCATCACTGGCTGTCCTGGCGGGCAGTGTTGTTTCCAGTGGGTAGCCAGTGTGACCGTCATTCAGTCTGTTGTTACTGAGAGAGTAGCTCAGAAGTGGAGCAATGTGCTTGAGGCCTTAGGTTTGGTTCCCAGAACTACCAAAATAAGAAAAAAAAATCTGCAATGCCAGGTTTGGTGCACATGTTTAGGTCCAGCACTTGGGAGGCAGAGGCAGATGAATCTCTGAGTTTGAGGTTAGCCTAGTCTACCCAGCAAGTTCCAAGACAGCCAGGACTACATAGAAAAACTTTGTTTTCAAAAACCAAAAAAGAAAAAAGAAAAAAAAAGCAACAAAATCCTGTCATTAGTTTGGAAATCTTTTTTTTTTTTAAGATAGCATTGTAAAAGGAGAGTCTTTATAGTAATAAAACTTTTTTTTCTGAGACTTATTTATTTATTATGTATACAGTATTCTGCTTGCATGAACCAGAAGAGGGCACCAGATCTCATTGTGGATAGTTGTGAGCCACCATGTAGTTGCTGGGAATTGAACTCAGGACCTCTGGAAGAGCAGTCAGTGCTCTTAACCTCCGAGCCGTCTCTCCAGTCCAGTATACAACTTTTTAAGATGAAGTGAAGCATGGAGTATTTGGTGCTCCAGAGCGTGCATCTCATGGCGCTCTTGTCCTGGCTGTTGTCTTGGGGAAAGGTTACAAACACCAGCCTAGAGGAATCACAAACAAGGTGCTCAGAGTGAAGCTTCTGGGAGGTCTTTGTTGGGACAGCCCCGCTCTGGGTCAGAACTCCACCATCCCTTCCTCAGCCCCGGTTCTTACTGTCCTCCTGCTTCTGGCTTTGAGTACTGAAGAGACCCTGAGGTAGTAGCAGTGGGGGCTTTGGGACAAAAGATACCTTTTTTTTTGTTTGTTTGTTTTGTGTTTTTTGAGACAAGATCTCACTGTGTATCCTTGGGTAGCTTGGAATGCTCTGTAGACCAGACTGGCTTTGAACTCAGGGATCAACTTGCCTCTCTTCCTGGGATTAAAGGTGTGTGCTACCAAGCTGTACTACAAAAGAGAACCATTTTGGGTTTTTTTCATTTTGTCCTTTGCTTATCTCAAATGTGGTCTCACATAGCCCGGGGTGACCTGGGACTCCTATCCCCTGGCTCATCCTTCTGAACTACCAGCCCCAGCCAACATTTTTGACTTGTAAATGGATGGCCAAACAGTCCAAAGTCAGCGATGGCCCTCAGTAACTGGCCTTTGTCTCCACAGGAGTGCTACCTGGAGGGTGACCAGACAAGCTTGTACCATGCAGCCAAAGGGTTGATGACCCTGCAGGCGCTATATGGAACCATCCCCCACATCTTCGGGAAAGGAGAATGTGCTCGGGTGAGAAACCTCTGCTTTCTGGTTTCATACAGAATAGTGGTCGATGAGGGAGTCCCCAGAGACGCAGTCAGTCCTCGGCACGCACGTATTCCATGTTGAGGACTTGGTCTCGTTCCTGTCAGTACTCACCCACTGGACATGTTAGCAGAGGTGACCAAGGTTGACAAGTGTCTCTTTCTCAGGCCACTTAGGTGGCTTTGCTGTTTAAATGTATCATAAGCATGGCGTGAGGTGTGTAGTATGACTTACAGTGAATGTCATGCATCAGAGGAGTTCTATCTGGGCCAGAGTCACAGAGCTCTTGGCCATTTGTCCTGTATGAATGATCAGGTGACCAAACACAAATACACAACACAAGGTTTAGTATTGATCTTTTGACAAAATCTGTGACTGGGGACTGGAAAGATGGCTCTGTGATCGAGTGCTTCCTGCCTTACAGAAGATCAAATTCAGTTCTCAGACCCAGACACCTGTGCTTCCAGATTCAGAGGACCCGATGCCCTCTTATGATCAATGTGGGCTCTGCACTCATATGTACAAAGCCACTCCCAGACACACATATACATATCAATAAAAACCCGAAATCTTCTTTAAGTTTAGTTTATATGGGGCAGGATTTGTGTGCATCTTGTGGGTTTATATGCACTACTTGGGTGCAGGTACCCCTGGAGGTCAGGGGTTGTCTGGATGAATTCTTAGTAACTAGATTTACAAATGGCTATGAGCCCCCAGAGGTGGGGGCTGGGAACTGAACCCAGGTTCTCTGCAAGACCAGTAAGTGCTCTTAACCACTGAGCCATCTCTTCTGTCCTAAAAATAACTAAATCTTTCTAAAAATTTTCAAAGCTATGGCCAGAGGCTCACAGGTACCTGTGTTTCTTTCGGGAACAGCTGCTGCGTACCTCACCATCTGCAGACACTGTAGAATGTAACTACGGGTCTGATACTGTGTCTGGCTGGGGCCCAGGGGCCACTCTTGGCTCCCACTTGGCATGGTGGTTAACCGCAGGTGCTTCTTGATAGCTGTTTATTTCGTTATCAGCGATCCTTGCAACTTTCCTCCTTTTTTCCCTTCTTTTGATTGTTGTTCTATTTGTGGCAGAATCTTAAACTCGGCTAGTTCCCAGGAGGCTCCAGTTGATTCCATGTTTTGTTTCCAGCAAGTGGCCAATATGATGGTCAGGATGAAGAGGGAGTTTACGGGAAGCCAAAACTCAGTGTTCCCTGTGTTTGATAACCTCCTGCTGCTTGATCGCAACGTGGATCTCTTAACGCCGCTGGCCACCCAGCTCACATACGAAGGACTCATTGATGAGATTTATGGCATTCAGAACAGTGAGTGAAGTGATGTCAGCTTTCACTGGTCCCTAACAGGGTGGAGCCCCCGTGTGGAGGCCGCTGCTCTATGCTCATCTCAAGCGTTGCTTAAATGCAAGGTTCTAGAGGTTCCATCCTCCTCCTTTCTCTCCCCACCCCTTGTGTTTTGAAACAGAGTGTAGCTCAAACTAACATGGAGTTTACTATGTAGTCCAGGCTAGCCTGTGCCTCCCTAGTGTTGTGATTGCACTAAGGTGTAAATTACCACACCTAACTAAAGATCCATTTTCTAATGATACTTTAATACAATTTTTTAAAAACAAGTTGGCAGCATATAAAGCTATTGATTCCTGAGCTGGGTGGTGGTGCACATCTTTTGGTCCAGCACTCGGGAAGCAGAAGCAGATGAATCTCTGAGTTTGAGGTCAGCCTGGTCTTCCCAGCAAGTTCCAAGAGAAACCCTGTCTTAAAACAAAACAAAAAATACTATTAGTTCTTGGATTGCAAAAATCCCGAGAATGTCACTTGAGGAATCATCATACCAGGAAACATGAAGGAGGGTGGGGTGAAGCTTTGTGTTGCCATTTATTTTCTAGGTATTCTAGGTAGTTGAGAACATTCTACAACATTGCAGAGTCCCGAAAGTAACAACTGAAGACCATGAGAAACTGTACGTCCTATTTATTCCCACTATAAACTGTGCTCAAACCAAATGGCCAAATAAGAACACACAGGACAGGAAAGTAGCTGATAGGAGAGTGACACTTCCTGCCTCTCCCTGCCCCTGCCTGCTTCTCCCTGCCTCTTCCTGCCTCTGCCTGCCTCTTCCTGCCTCTTCCTGCCTCTCCCTGCCTCTCCCTGCCTCTCCCTGCCTCTGCCTGCCTCTGCCTGCCCCTGCCTGCCCCTGCCTGCCTCTGCCTGCCTCTCCCTGCCTCTGCCTGCCTCTGCCTCTCCCTGCCTCTCCCTGCCCCTGCCTGCCTCTGCCTGCATCTGCCTGCCTCTCCCTGCCTGCCTCTGCCTGCCTCTCCCTGCCTCTCCCTGCCTGCCTCTGCCTGCCTCTCCCTGCCTCTGCCTGCCTTTCCCTGCCTCTGCCTGCCTCTGCCTGCCTGCCTCTCCCTGCTTCTACCTCTTCCTGCCTCTGCCTGCCCCTGCCTGCCTCTCCCTGCTTCTGCCTCTGCCTGCCTCTGCCTGCCTCTGCCTGCCCCTGCCTGCCTCTCCCTGCTTCTGCCTCTTCCTGCCTCTGCCTGTCTCTTCCTGCCTCTACCTATGCCTGCTTCTACCTCTTCCTGCCTCTGCCTGCCTCTGCCTCTTCCTGCCTCTGCCTGCCTCTTCCTGCCTCTACCTATGCCTGCTTCTGCCTCTCCCTGCCTCTGCCCCTGCCCCTGCCTCTGCCTGCCCCTACCTCTGCCTGCTCCTGCCTCTGCCTCTGCCTCTGCCTGCCCCTACCTCTCCCTGCCCCTACCTCTGCCTGCCTCTGCCTCTGCATCCCAAGAACTGAGATTAAAGATCTCGGGAATTAAAGATCAAAACACCCACCTTATTTAACTTTTAGAAGTATTTTTTGGGACTGGAGAGATGGCCAGTAGTTAAGAGCACTGGCTGCTCTTCCAAATGACAAGAGTTCAATTCCCAGCACTCACATGGCAACTCACACCTTTCTGTAGCTCCAGTCCAGGGCTTTTGACACTCTCATAGACATACATGCAGGCAAAACACCACTGCACATGAAATAAAAACAAATTAAAGAAAAAAAAGAAATGCTTTAAAAAATGTTATTAATATGTTATTTGACAGTTTCATGTATGTATATATTTTGATCATACCTTATTTAAATTTTTTCCACATTTATTATTTATTGTGTGTATGTGCACACACGTGTACTTGTGTATCTACTGTGCATCTATGGAAGTCAGAGGACAACTTTCAGGAGCTGGTCTCTCCTTCCACCATGTGGATGCTGGGGATGGAATTTGGGTCAAGCACCTTTACTCACTAAGCCCTTTCACTGGCCCCTGATTTTTATGCTCTTGTGAGAAAGTCTCTCTCTGTAGCTCAGACTGGCCTTGAGCTCTGGGCTTCTTGGTTAATCTCCTGAGTGCTGGGAGTTTAGGTTATAGACACTGTCACCACCCCAGCCTTAGTCTGTAGACAGTGTCACACCCCAGCCTTAGTCTGTAGACACTGTCACACCCCAGCCTTAGTCTGTAGACACTGTCACACCCCAGCCTTAGTCTGTAGACACTGTCACACCCCAGCCTTAGTCTGTAGACAGTGTCACACCCCAGCCTTAGTCTGTAGACACTGTCACACCCCAGCCTTAGTCTGTAGACACTGTCACACCCCAGCCTTAGTCTGTAGACACTGTCACCACCCCAGCCTTAGTCTGTAGACAGTGTCACACCCCAGCCTTAGTCTGTAGACACTGTCACACCCCAGCCTTAGTCTGTAGACACTGTCACACCCCAGCCTTAGTCTGTAGACAGTGTCACCACCCCAGCCTTAGTCTGTAGACAGTGTCACCACCCCAGCCTTAGTCTGTAGACAGTGTCACACCCCAGCCTTAGTCTGTAGACAGTGTCACCACCCCAGCCTTAGTCTGTAGACAGTGTCACACCCCAGCCTTAGTCTGTAGACAGTGTCACACCCCAGCCTTAGTCTGTAGACACTGTCACCACCCCAGCCTTAGTCTGTAGACACTGTCACACCCCAGCCTTAGTCTGTAGACACTGTCACACCCCAGCCTTAGTCTGTAGACACTGTCACACCCCAGCCTTAGTCTGTAGACAGTGTCACACCCCAGCCTTAGTCTGTAGACACTGTCACACCCCAGCCTTAGTCTGTAGACACTGTCACACCCCAGCCTTAGTCTGTAGACACTGTCACCACCCCAGCCTTAGTCTGTAGACACTGTCACACCCCAGCCTTAGTCTGTAGACACTGTCACACCCCAGCCTTAGTCTGTAGACAGTGTCACCACCCCAGCCTTAGTCTGTAGACAGTGTCACCACCCCAGCCTTAGTCTGTAGACAGTGTCACCACCCCAGCCTTAGTCTGTAGACAGTGTCACCACCCCAGCCTTAGTCTGTAGACACTGTCACACCCCAGCCTTAGTCTGTAGACAGTGTCACACCCCAGCCTTAGTCTGTAGACAGTGTCACACCCCAGCCTTAGTCTGTAGACAGTGTCACCACCCCAGCCTTAGTCTGTAGACACTGTCACACCCCAGCCTTAGTCTGTAGACAGTGTCACACCCCAGCCTTAGTCTGTAGACACTGTCACCACCCCAGCCTTAGTCTGTAGACACTGTCACACCCCAGCCTTAGTCTGTAGACAGTGTCACACCCCAGCCTTAGTCTGTAGACACTGTCACACCCCAGCCTTAGTCTGTAGACAGTGTCACACCCCAGCCTTAGTCTGTAGACACTGTCACACCCCAGCCTTAGTCTGTAGACAGTGTCACACCCCAGCCCAAAGGTTATTGAGAAAGTCCTTGGCATAGAAGTCAGAGCACAGCTGGAAAAAAGGTGCTGACTCGTCTTGTGAGCCTGAGGTTAGACATTTGAGTACTCTGCTGACTTCTGGGCTGACCAGATATCCTTGCTCAGACTTGCCTGCTTCACATTAGCTGAAGCTAGCCCCATGTGGGTGGTGAAGATCGGGAGAGCTCTGGGTTTGCAAAGAAGAGTAAGGTTTAGGTGGAGGTTCAAAAGAGGACAGACTGTAAATGCCACTGTTTGGGGGCAGCCAACTTGTCTTGAGTTGACATGCACAGATGGTGAGATCCTCAGCAACTGTTCAGGAGGTCGGGGGCACGAGGTGGAAGTCCTGGAAGATCAGCTGGAGTTTGAGCTTAACGAGTGATTAGGCCAGAGATCACAGCATGTGTAGTTTGCTTGGTTTGGGCCATCATATTTCTGTTAGCGTTTCAAATGTGAGGAATTATTAATAGTCTTGATTCATGCCATGTCTTAAAAAACATCTATGTTTTAGCAGTCCCTAGACCTCATTTCCACCTGGCAGCCAATGTCCAGGGGAAATGGCTCCTTTAGACAAGGTCTGTTGTGCCCCTTACCATGAGTGGGTAGACACACACATACACCCAGGCTGCTGTCTGTCTCAGCCTGGCCTCTGTTGACATTCTGGAGCTGTGGATAAAGTTGTAAAGTCCAGAGACTGGGAGGCAGGGTGTAAAACTGCTCGTTCCTTTGGGGTAAGAAAGTCTAGAACCAGCTGCTGTGGTCATAAACCTCTGCACAGAATCCCTGTGAATTGTTAACTGTAAAGTGGCCAAAGTGGTAAATTTTGTGTTCTGTACTTTCTATCATGAGAACAGGCTTGCTGCCAAGGGGGCAGGATGTGGACGGCTGAAGATAGAGATGAAGAGGCATTGCCATAAAAGACTAAGAGATGCCAGGTCCTTAATGATATGGTCATATGGCTTGTATTTTTTAACTTGTTCCCCAAAATGGTATCTTACCCTCATTCTTAATTGACAGAAGTGTTCATTCCAAGATGCTGGATCATAGGTGGGAATCAGAAGAAGGGGTAAGCCTTCGCAGAGCATACCCAGAAGATGGCAAAAGGAGAGCCTGGAGTTTAGGACAAGGAAGGGTCTGGGCAGGGGTGGCCTCTGAGTGGGCCTAGGCTGGCTGTGTAAAGGTGCGAGGCAGGTAGGGACTGTCCAAGAAGAGAAAGAGTAGGAACTCAGTTTTTCTTTATTTATTTATTTATTTATTTATTTATTTATTATGTATACAATATTCTGTCTGTGTGTATGTCTGCAGGCCAGAAGAGGGCGCCAGACCTCATTACAGTTGGTTGTGAGCCACCATGTGGTTGCTGGGAATTGAACTCAGGACCTTTGGAAGAGCAGGCAATGCTCTTAACCACTGAGCCATCTCTCCAGCCCCCGGAACTCAGTTTTTCATAACTAAAATGCTAATTAAGGAGAAACTGGAAAAACAGAGCAAAGGACACATAGCCCCTCCTGTGGCCCAAACCACAGCAATGGCATTCGGTTCTTAGAATCTGTCTTTGCAGAATTCATTTTAGAGTGAAAAGGGAATCAAGTTCTGCAGACTCCTCAGTTCCATACGTGAGGGGCAGGAGCACTGTACCATCCGTTCTCTCTTCCACCACCAGAGCCACAGGGACTAAGCTCAGGTCATCACCATCTTGCTGGCCTTAAATTCCACTTCTGATCTGGTGTAATGATGAATAGTGTCCCCTTCTTGTCTCCTTGGGTACCACATGCACATGGCATACAAATATATATGCAGTCAAAACATATATACACATAAAAATAATGAATTTTTAAAATTCTCACCACCTTTTGTTATTTCCTGTGAACACTCTGGAATTTTCTGTCTTGTTTGCTGCTGCTGTTTTATGGATCTGTGGTGCAGGCTGGTCTCACCACAGTCTTCCTGGCCTTGCCTTCCCAGTGCTAGCATTCACCTGGGGCATGCCCACGCTGGTGAGATTTCTTTTGACGAACTCGACATTGTTGCAATGGTCTCTATAGCTGTCCAGAATTACAATTAGAGCCATGGTATGGATATTGAAGCAGCTGGGCCACAGAGAGTGTAGCAGAGTGGGGAGCCCTTATCTTCTAATTCAGTTGTGACAACAAACCATCTGCTCTTCTACTGTGAGTTGCTGGTGGCATTTGGGCCTAGGCTTTTGACCCTTGGATCTTCCAGTAACCGCTCAAGTGTGTTGTTCCCTCCAACTTCAGGTTATGTGAAGTTACCGCCAGAGAAATTCACACCCAAGAAGCAGGGCGGCGGTGGCGGGAAGGACCTTCCCACGGAAGCGAAGAAGCTTCAGCTGAACTCTGCAGAGGAGCTTTATGCTGAGATCCGAGACAAGAACTTCAACGCTGTGGGCTCTGTGCTCAGCAAGAAGGCGAAGATCATCTCTGCTGCCTTTGAGGTGAGGTGAGCCTTGGCTGCCACCCTGCCCTCTGGGAGTGCTGAGGGGATAGCAGTCCTAGTCACAGCGAGAGCATTTGCAGCTCAGACTTCTATTTACCTAAGATGTTTAGGTCTGTGAGTCAGGTATACACTAAACTAACAAAGCATAAGAAAATTTATTTAAAAATAATTCCTTGATGTGCTCATAATTTTACCAGCTATTGCCGGGCGATGGTGGCGCATGCCTTTAATCCCAGCACTCGGGAGGCAGAGGCAGGCGGATCTCTGTGAGTTCGAGACCAGCCTGGTCTACAAGAGCTAGTTCCAGGACAGGCTCCAAAGCCAGCTATTAAAGACAAAAGCAAATTTGCATGTGAGGGAGGTGCCCTGCTTGCTGACTTTTATGTAAAGAATTGAATCTTAGCTGATATTTGATACTTGTGACATGGGGCATCTTCAGTGGTTTTTTTTTTTTAAACATTTATTTATTTATTTATTATGTATACAATATTCTGTCTGTGTATATGCCTGAAGGCCAGAAGAGGGCGCCAGACCTCTTTATAGATGGTTTTGAGCCACCATGTGGTTGCTGGGAATTGAACTCAGGACCTTTGGAAGAGCAGGCAATGCTCTTAACCACTGAGCCATCTCTCCAGCTCCCTCTTCAGTGGTTTTTAAGAGTGGATTGATACTTTGATTTTATAATTGTGAGTGCTGAGACTGACTCTTCCTGTATTATATACAGTGAAGACTAGCAGGGATGAGTTTAGGGCCGTTTCAGGAATAACGGGAACTGGACATGAGCACACTCCATTTTATCTCAGCACTTGATAGCTCGATAGGCAAAGGCAGATGGGTCTCTCTGAAAAGGAAGGAAGGAAAAGAAAAGAAAAAAAAGGTGGGGGAGGAAGGAAGAAAAGAAATCATTGGAAATCAAAAGTTCTCCCCATAGTGTATGTGTTTGTGTATGCACACGTGTGCGTGCGTGTATGTTTGCATGTGTGCTATGTGTGCATATGGAAGCCAGAGATCAGCCCACCCTCAAGTAATATTTCTCAGGAGGTATTCACTTTGATTTTTGCTGTTTTTGCTTTTGGGGGGTTGTTTGTTTGTTTTAAGGTGGGATTTCTTTGTGTAACCCTGGCCTGGAACTCCTGTAGGAAAATAGTAGGTTTTCTGTCATTAAGCTGTTATGTTTCTTTTTTTTCTTTTTTGGTTTCTGTGTACTTTTGGAGCCTGTCCTAGAACTAGCTTTTGTAGACCAGGCTGGCCTCAAACTCACAGAGATCCACCTGCCTCTGCCTCCCAAGAGCTGGGATTAAAGGCGTGCGCCACTACTGCCCTCCCACCCCACACCCCCACTAAGCCATTATGTTTCTATAAGAGCAGAAATCTTTTATCTAGTGAGAACACTGCAGTTTATAGCATGAAGTAGCATTGAGTCTGAGCCACGGTGTCTAGGCAGCATGTGCGGCCTGGACTGGTGTGAGGACGCACACCTGTAAGGCTCCATGCTGTGAGGACACACACCTGTAAGGGCTCCATGCTGTGAGGATGCACACCTCCAAGGGCTCCCTCTGTGCTGGAGGACACACACCTGCAAGGGCTCCCTCTGTGCTGGAGGACGCAACCCTGCAAGGGCTCCATGCTGTGAGGACACACACCTGCAAGGGCTCCGTGCTGGAGGACACACACCTGCAAGGGCTCCGTGCTGGAGGACACACACCTGCAAGGGCTCCGTGCTGGAGGATGCACACCTGCAAGGGCGCCATGTTGTATGTTCAGGGTCAATGCCTTTGTGAGCACTTACAGAAATGTGTTTTGCCAGGCGGTGGTGGCGCACGCCTTTAATCCCAACACTCGGGAGACAGAGACAGGCAGATCTCTGTGAGTTCGAGACCAGCCTGGTCTACAAGAGCTAGTTCCAGGACAGGCTCCAAAACCACAGAGAAACCCTGTCTTGAAAAACAAACAAACAAACCAACAAACAAAAACCCAAAAAAACAGAAATGTGTTTCAGTTAATTTTTGGACAACACGTGTTCAGAAACTTTTTGTGACCCTCATGTTCATTTACACAGTCTTGTACGAACCGTGTCCCATAGTTTAGGAGCTGGGCTGGGGCTGGAGAGATGGCTCAGCAGTGTAGAATACTGCTCTTGCAGAGGACCTGAGTTCAATTCCCTTGGACTCACGTGGACATATCCACGCATAGACACATGCAAATTCACATAATTAAAAATAAAAGAAATCCTTTTTTTTGTTTTGTTTTAAAGAAGCTGGGCTATAGCACACCTATCTTATTCTAATACCTGCAGATTCAAGAGAGCATAAGGTTTTCTTTCTTTAAAAAAATACACTATTTATTTACTTTCCTAGTACCAGGGATTAAACTCAGGTCATGTGGACATGCTGTGCCCTTGAGCTGTGTCACCAGCCTAGGCTTTTGTTGTTTTAAAACTTTTTCTCAGGCCTGTATCAGCAGCACTGTGTTCAGGGTTCCTCTTTTTAGGGGACGTGAGACATGGGTGTTGTTTTCATAAACAACTTCCCATGATCTTCTGTTACACCCTTTCCTCCTCCTAGAGGATGCCTGCTGTACTAGACAGACGTGGGGTGCTGCTGGAGGAGAACACGGGAGGTCTGGCCAGCATCCGGCAGGGGAGCCCACACGTGTGATCAGTGATAATGAGAGCAGAATCCCCAGCCGCCTCGTTACCACCTTCCTGCCTCCTCTTGTCTTTAGCCAGTTTGTTCTTGTTGCTCTGGTTTGGAAGTGTGGGATTCGCTAGATTTACACAATGACTGTTTAGACTCTGCAGACAGAAACTGGGAGAGTTTCTGAAAAGTGCCTTTTGCCTTTGTCGTTGTGTTTCTGGTTTTGGGTGTTACCTTTCTTAGGGATTCTCTCTGTAGATTAACTCCATGTTCCTGAAGATAGTTTTGGATGATGTTATTAAAACGTTCTTGTCAATAATCGAGTTCACTTTGTTCATGGGCTGCATTCACTGTTGAGATCCAATGCCAGATGGCATTTGTTTCTATTACACAGAAGATTTTTTTTTTTATTGAGAAAAAAAAATTTCTGCCTCCTCCCAGCCTCCCACTCCTCCCCCCTCCCCCCACTCCTCTCCCCGTTCCCCCACTCCTCTCTCCCTCCCCCCTCCTTTCCCCCTCCCTCTCAAGTCTGAAGAGCAGTCAGGGTTCCCTGCCCTGTGGAAAGTCCAAAGTCCTCCCCCCTCCATCCTGGTCTAGGAAGATGAACATCCAAACTGGCTAGGCTCCCACAAAGCCAGAACATGTAGTAGGATCAAAACCCAGTGCCATTGTCCTTGGCTTCTCAGCAGCCCTCATTGTCCGCCATATTCAGAGAGTCCGGTTTTATCCCCTGCTTTTTCAGTCACAGTCCAGCTGGCCTTTGGTGAGCTCCCAATAGATCAGCCCCACTGTCTCCGTCGGTGGGTGCACCCCTCTTGGTCCTGACTTCCTTGCTCATCTTCTCCCTCCTTCTGTTCCTCATTGGGACTTTGGGAGCTCAGTCCAGTGCTCCAGTGTGGGTCTCTGTCTCTATCTCCATCCATCTCCAGATGAAGGTTCTATATGCAAAATATTCATCAGTATGGCTATAGGATAGGATCATTTCAGGTTCCCTATCTTCAGCTGCCCCAGGAACTAACTGGAGACTTCGCCTTGGGCACCTGGAAGCCCCTCTAGGTCCAAGTCTCTTCCCAACCCTAAGATGGCTCCCTTAATTAAGATATGTGCTTCCCTGCTCCCCTATCCAACCTTCCTTTATCCCAATCATCCCGTTGCCCCAAGTTCTCCCCATCCTACTCAGTGGTTAAGAGCATTGCCTACACAGAAGATTTTTGACTGTTTGTTTTTGATTTTTGACACTGTCTCATGGCTGAGGATGATCTTGAACTTCTGATCCTTTTGTCTTCCCAAGTGTTGGGGTTTTAAGTCAGTTCTGGCATGCCTGACTTGGACTCTTTCTGCTGTGTGAGGCACTTAGAGTTTGTGTGTGTGTGTGTGTGTTTGGGGAGGAAGGGACAACTGGAAGGAGTTCTCCTTTCCACCCTGGGGTCCTTTGATGGAGTAGCACCATGTCACTGTACTTACCTTCCTATGGCTTTGGAGCTGGGTTTAACCTGATTTGTATTTCCCTTTCATGATGGTATTGCTAACACATCTTCTGGATGTTTTCCTGCCGCCTCATGTTGCAGCTGCTTGTTCTGTTCTCTTGCAGGAGAGGCACAATGCCAAGACAGTGGGGGAGATTAAGCAGTTTGTTTCCCAGCTGCCCCACATGCAGGCCGCCAGGGGATCTCTTGCCAACCACACCTCAATTGCCGAGTTAATCAAAGATGTCACCAGTGAGTACCCTTTGTTGTAGCTCTTCCTACCTGGGACTGGCTGTGGATACATTGTCCAGCACCCTGGTCATTGGCACCTTGGTCCTTCCTTGGGAAGACTAGTCGTGCTTTATGTATTTATTTTATTATTTTAGTGCCTGAGATCAAACTGGGGCTTGTTAATGTGAAGCAGTGCTTGACCACTGAGCCACCCACAGCCAGTTCCATTTGAGCATCATGCTTGAGTCACAGGAGAAGGAAGTGTATGACTTTCTTAGGTAGGGTCTCATGCAGCCCTGGTTGGCCTTAAACTTGATGCATAGCCCGGTCTGACATGAACTCCTGATGACCCTCTTGCCTGCACCTCTCCGAGATGGGGTGACAAATTGGGGACACTTTATCTGACTAAGCGTGTGACATTAATAGGAACGCTTGTCCAGGCTGATATATAGCTCAATGGTTACAAGCATTTGCTCCCCTTGCTGTGGACCCCAGTGCAGGACCCAGCACCACTGCAGGTAGCTCACAGCTACCTATAACTCCACCCAGGAGACCCCACTGACCTCTGAGGGCACTGCGCTCATGCACAGACACACTCGGGTACACACAAGTCTTTTAAAAAGTTCCATTTGTGATTAACTCAGCTGAAGTATTAATCATGAGGTCAAATACCTGGAATATGGATAAGAAAAAGGCACTCGTCTAGAGGATGGCCCCGGTATGACGTGAAGCAGTCAGCACTTCCCCCATGATGTTTTCCTATGTGAAGGTTATTTAATTAGGGCGGTATGGTGTTCAGGGTTTTGCTAAGACTCTTGCTTTGGTCCTCTTGAGAACTGTGCAGAGCACCTGTGATCCTAGTACTTGGAAGGCTAGGGCAGGAAGACCATAAAGTCAAGGACATCTCAGACAAGAAAGAAAAGGGCCTGGGAATGTAGCTCAGTTAGTGTGCTCACTACAGTACAGGCCTGATGGTATGTGCTGCAGTGCCAGCACGGGTGCTGGGGGGTACTGAAGGAAGTTTATAGTGAGTTCAGGACCAGTCTGGGCTACACTAAACCTTGCCTCAAAAACAAACTAAACCAGAGACGTGTGTCTTTAATCCCAGCTGTCAGGAGGCAGAGACAGGCAGATCTCTGAGTTCAAGGTCAGGCTGGTCTACAGAGTGAGTTCCAGGACACTAGGGCTACACAGAGAAACCCTATCTCAAAAAGTAAAACAAACTTCCCAGAGAATTGTCACAGAGAGCCTCATGAGATATTAAGGTATTTAAATCCTAATGCAAGCCCATCTGACTCAGATGGAGAAGCTAAGGAATTTGTTCAGTACTGAATAGCATGTGTTCAGTATGAAATGTTAAGAAATATGCTTTGAATCTAAGTTCAGTGTTGGGAAATTAATCCTTTATCTGCTGGTGACAAAAGTAGGAATCAGTTGGCAGGAGGCTGTGCTTTGGGAAAGTGAGTGTTCACTGACACTGAGACCCCTGCCTGGTCCTTACCTGTGCACCCTAAGCAAAGGACCTCGAAGGAGCAGTGTGCAAGTGTAACTGGCTGCTCTCAGTCTCTACCTTTTTGGTTTTATGTGCTGCATTTGCTAATTCTGCTTATGAATAGAAGCATAACACTCGAGCCAGATGACACTGCTGAATTTCTAAGTCAAAACTTTGCTGATTACATTTTAGCTTCTGAAGACTTCTTCGATAAGTTAACAGTGGAGCAGGAGTTCATGTCTGGGGTGGACACTGACAAGGTATGTGGGAGCCTGTTCTTCACCAGAGTGAAAGCCAGTCATCTACCGTTAGAGCCAGACCAGCGGTCCATTGCGGTGTTGTCTATGTTGTTATTGTTTGAGACTAAAACTCACCTGGAGCCCTGGCTGGCCTAGAACTTGATATGTAGCTCAAGCCAGAGATCCTCTTGCCTCTGCCGCCTCTTCAGTGCTCAGACTGAAGGTGAGTGAGCGCCATTCTACCTGTCCCTCAGCCATTGTTCTGGTTCCTCTTGTGCTCGTCCTCCCCCCCCCCCCGTGTGTGTGTGTGTGTGTGTGTGTGTGTGTGTGTAATAAAAAAAGATATTTGCCTTTTGGGGTGGGGGTGTAGGTTATTGATAGGACAGTACCTGTCTAGCATGTCTAGAAATCTTGGGGTCAGACCCAATATTCCTAAAGCAACTAGCAACAACAACATTGTATACACACACAGACACACACACACACACCAGCTGGTCGTGGTGACCCACACTTGTAATCCTAGCTCTTGAGAGATGGAAGCATTTAAGGCCAGCTTTGGCTACATAGCAAGTTTGAGGCCAACCTGGGTTACAGGAGACCTTATCTCAAAACATCAACCAACACAGGTTACTTTTAAAAATATTCATCACCATAAAATATTAATTGTTCAATTTGCAAAGGTTCCTATTTTTTAAAAAGTATTCCTATCACTTCATGCTCTACCGGTAAATTGTTGATATTTGTTTTGTTTTTGTTTTTTTGTTTTTTTTAGGTAGACCAAGCCACATAAACCCCAAATATTCAGCAGCCACTAGTTGTTTATGAGGTAGATGTGTCCGAGCAGGCGATTTGATTGCCCAGTGTTGTCCTCACCATCTCACGCTGGTGTGTGTGTGTGGTAGCTGTCGGGTTGGGGCACAGAGTAGAGGGAGACACCTTCAGCAGGGATGAGGAAGTCAGGAAACAGCCTTCCTCTCTCCAGCTGTCTTTCTTTGCCTAGAGCAGTGGTTCTCACCCTTTAATACAGCTCCTCCTGTTGTGATGACCCCAACCATAACATTATTTCCTTTTTGTTTGTTTACAGTGAAGGTTTATCATTAACACCAACAGTGACTGTATTTAACAATTCCCTCAAAGGCAAAAGTTGACTCACTTCATCTGCCTCCTGCTGATGCTAGCAGTTGCAGCTGTCAGTGGGTTTGTGATTTTCTTATGTTGCCATAACATTATTTCATTGCTACTTCATAATTGTAATTTTTTATTCTTATGAATCGTGATGTAAATATCTGGCATGCAGGGGCCTTACGTGACCCCTGTAACTACGACCCCCAAAGGGGTCTTTTTAATTTTTTTTAAATATTTATTTATTTACTTATTATGTATACATTGTTCTGTCTGTGTGTATGCCTGCAGGCCAGAAGAGAGCACCAGACCTCATTACAGATGGTTGTGAGCCACCATATGGTTGCTGGGAATTGAACTCAGGACCTTTGGAAGAGCAGGCAATGCTCTTAACCACTGAGCCATCTCTCCAGCCCCCTTTTTAAATTTTTTTATTTTTGGTTTTTCGAGACAGTTTCTCTGTAGCTTTGGTGCCTGTCCTGGAACTAGCTCTTGTAGACCAGGCTGGCCTCTAACTCACAGAGATCCGCCTGCCTCTGTCGCCCAAGTGCTGGGATTAAAGGCATGTGCCACCACCACCCGGCTCCCAAAGGGGTCTTGACTACAGATTGAGAACCACTGTTTTAGGGGAATATAGGAGATATCAAATTGTTTTAAGTCCGTGGGCTATGAGTCTGTTTATATTTCATTTCTAGGTCAACAACTACATCGAGGACTGTATTGCCCAGAAGCATCCGCTCATCAAGGTGTTGAGACTGGTGTGCCTCCAATCTGTGTGCAACAGTGGGCTCAAGCAGAAGGTTCTGGACTTCTACAAAAGGGAAATTCTCCAGGTAGTAAACTAAAGAGGTTTTATATGCTGAGAAGGAGCGCGTCTTTTAATAATAGAGCTCTCACAGCTGCTGTTTTAGTGTAGTGTGAACACGAGCTTGTTTTGTTTTAGAACCTGTTGTTTGTTAGTGTGTACATGTCATGGTGCACAAGGGGGCAGGACAACTTCAGACTGTGTTCTCCTTCCACCTCCATGGGGCGCAGCACACAGCGTGACAGGTGCTTCACCCTCCGGACCTTCTCATCAGCCTGTCTTTAACTTCTATCACCACTATCTTTTTAATCTAAATTTTAAAATTATGCTTATTAATTTAATTATTTAGCATGTTTATGTGTGTTTGCACATGTGTATATGCATACTTATGTGTCATGATATGCATGTAGAGGACAGAAAATAACTTTTGGTGGTGAGCTCTTTCCTTCCACCATATGGACCCAAGGATGGAACTCAGGACATCAGACTTGACAGCATCTTGCTAACCCCTGTGGAAAATCTTATTGCATTCTTTGATTGATTTGCATGTGTGTGTATGTCTGTGGGCCAATGTACAGGACAAATTTCTGATTGTTCCTAAACAGGCTTAGCTTGTTAGACTTTATAGTAATAGGGAAGCCCACTGCTATTACAAGATGTTTTTTTCTATAGCCTGGCAGCATGCCACACACATGCACTTGGGAGCAGAGGCAGATGGAACTCTGTGAGCTCCAGGCTATCCAGGGCTATACAGTGAGACCCTGTTGGAAAAACCAATTTTCCCATTTGAATGTCTCAGGCAGGTGGTTATTTGTTATTACCAGGCAGTGCACAGTATGTTGTTAGTTTTTGTGGATTTTGTTTTCCTCTTTCTTTCGTTACACAAATGACAGAAATTCTCATGAGATTCCAGTATTGCAGAAGTGCATGGAGCAAGCCAACTGTCCCCAGCCCTGCTCCAATTCCTGTCTCTCCCCAGAGGTTCCTCCTCCTTCCACTTCTTCTTTGCACACAGGCTGTGTATGTACACAGGTTTCCAGTCGGTATGTGCTCCAAGGTTAGTTAGCATGGCTGGTACAGCAATCTACGGGTAGCTGACATGATGTTTGTAAAGTGTCTCAGGGGACATTCCACAGGGTCAGCGACTACTGTTCTTCTTAAAAAAAACAAAATTCTACATGCAAAATTTTACTATGAACTATTTTTGTTCTTTTCAGTGTGCAGATAAGCCTTTGAGAGCTAATATATACTGGATGGAAATACACTTTCTTTAGTGCTCAGCTTGGCTCATAAACTCTGACTTTAAAGTAAAAACCTTAAATCATTCCCGAAACAAGGAGCAGGGCTAATATTGGTGGGCAAGCATCTAAGAGTCCCAGTCACAGCACCCTCTGCCCTGTCCCCTGCACTCTCCACACTCAGTCCTGACCTTGCTAACGAGCCCTGGGGTACAAACCACATTGATTTGTTAGAGTGCTCCTCTTTGGAAATCTGCAGAAGCCCTTTTCCTGACTTAACATCACTGCCAAATGCCTTCTCCTTCAGACCTATGGCTACGAGCACATACTGACCTTGAACAACCTGGAGAAAGCTGGCCTACTAAAAGCTCAGACAGGGGGCAGAAACAATTACCCAACGATTCGGAAAACATTACGGCTCTGGATGGATGATGTCAATGAGCAAGTAAGATGTGTTTCTGTGCTTGATTCTTGTAGTTCACGGTGACAGCGTACACACCGAGATCTGTACATCAGCTCCGCTTCCTGAGTGTCTCTTCACATTGATCTGTTTAGTGTGTGTGTACAACTTGAAGGGGTTGGTTCTTTCCTTCTACCATGTCAGTTCTGGGGCTTGAGCTCAGGTTGCCAGGCTTGGCAGCAAGTGCCCGTACTCTTTGAGCTCTTTATTCTTTTCTAATCATTTCCTCATGCTTCAGGAAAACAGTGCATATGTGTGCAGCATCCATCCTAGTCTCAGCAGAGACAGAATGCTGTCAGATTGAATAGCTTGAGGTTAATAAAGATGTGAACAGCGTGGACCTACAGACCTACAGGCTACAGACCATCATAGCTGGGGACTCCCAGCAGCAGGAGCTTGAGGGAGCCAGGCACAGCACGTCCATCGGGACAGAGAGGATGTGTGCCCCTGTGTTTGCCAATGCTCCATGACTCTTCACACTCATTAATCAAGGAGCCCTTCCCGCGATGGTGCCTAATGTAATCAGTCATGCTCAGAGGCCCATCCTGCAGTTAGCGTCCATCACACCACCTGAGGCGTGAAACCTGTCACAGGAACCAGAGAGAACTGTGTGGCTGACGGCTTCTGACCTCCATGTGTGTCCCAGACCAGGGGGCAGGGCAAAACAAGCCAGGCCACAGGCTGCTGTCTGCTCTCCAATTGTGCCATGGCACAAACAGAAGTCATGGGAGTGTTGGCATAACACCTACAGGCTTCTGGGCACAGGGCCCTGGAAGAGGTGCAGGGGATGTTAGGAATAGTTCACAGAAACATCCTTACGTGTAAGCTAGTCACTGTGCACTGGGAAGGGAAGCAGCTCCTGCCACAGGTAACATTCTTCACAGAGGCCACCCTGGTGGCCAGGTTTTAGTCCTTCCAAAGGGCATCTGCGCATCTGGCAGCACTCCACACATATTCTGTGCTCGTGTCTTCAGAGATCCTCTTAGTTTTATAGTCATCACTCAGTGCGATGCTGCCAAGCTTGTATTGTCCACATAGTGTGCTAGTTCACCACTGTCTGACCTTCTTCCCCTCAAACACCTACTGCCTAACGAGGGCTAGATCTAAGAACCTTCCTGGTGCCCCATTCCATCCTGGTTCTTTTTAATACTACTTAGAGTTTTGTTTGTTTGTTTGTTTGTTTGTTGGTCCTAGAAATTAAACCCAGGCCATGCTAAACCTGCTTCCTAGCATTGAGTTATACACCATTTCTGTGTGTGCGCATGTGTGCGTGCGTGTGTACATTATGTATGTGTGACTGACTCAGTGTAGTCCAGGCCAGCCTCTAACTCCCTACTAGCAAGTGACCTTGAACACCTTAATCCTCCAGTCTCAGTCTCCCAAGTGCAAACCTGTAATCCCAGCACTCCAGAGCTGAGGCAAGAGGATTCTAACTTTGAGACTGACCTGGCCTACATAGTGAGATCCTGTCTTAAACAACAAATGATTAAAGTGAAGCCAGGCTGTAGGTATGGTTCCAAGTACCAACATCATGTGACCCCAGCACCTTCTAGATTCTGCAGGGGTCTGTATGCTTCTATCTACAACTCAAAAACAGATACCTGCTGTACACATAAGTCAAAACAAACTTTAAAAAGTGGTGGCGCACGCCTTTAATCCCAGCACTTGGGAGGCAGAGGCAGTCAGATCTCTGTGAGTTCAAGGCCAGCCTGGTCTACAAGAGCTAGTTCCAGGACAGGCTCCAAAGCTACAGAGAAACCCTGTAAATAAATAAACAAATAAATAAATGAAAGGAAGAAAGAAAGAAAGAAAGGAAGGAAGGAAGAAAGAAAGTTAAGAACATAAAGCCCTGGGTGCTAAACACAGAGCCCCTACAAGGTGGATTGGAGTAAGACACAGGCAAGGGGTATTTTAAGTTTCTGTTTCCTAATCAAATAACTTCAGGTACCAAAAAACTGTGGGTGGCTCTCAGTCTCCTTATTTTTTTCTTTAACTGTTGACAGAACCCCACAGACATTTCCTACGTGTACAGTGGTTATGCACCACTCAGTGTGCGACTCGCTCAGCTCCTTTCCCGGCCAGGTTGGCGGAGCATCGAGGAGGTTCTCCGCATTCTCCCGGGGCCTCACTTTGAAGAACGCCAGCCATTGCCCACCGGGCTGCAGAAGAAGCGTGAGTTTATCTCCCATCCACAGTCAGTGTGCTGTTGATGGGGCTCGTGTTGTGCGGTTGCTTTGTAAAAACATTTGTAAAGTCGGTTGCTAATGCACATTGGCAGCCAGAGCTTGTGAATAGCATATTTCAGTCTGCACTGAGACCCCCAGGACTCGGGGTGTAAGATCAAAATCAGCATTCCAGAGCCTCAGATGAACCAGTTATACCAAGATGCACTTGACTTTTTCATACTTCTCCTTCTCTGTTTTTAAATATATTTATGATTTGTGTGTGTGTGCGCGCGCGTGCGTGCGCGTGCCTGGAGAGGTCAGAGGCATCTCTTGAAGCTGGAATTACAGACAGTTGTGAGCTCTCTGATGTGGGTGCTGGGAAATTAAACTTCCTCTGCAGGAACAGTACACAGTCTTAACTGCTGAGCCAGCATCTCTCCAACCCTTTTATACACTTTTAAATGAAAAAAAAATTTCAAGAAGCAGCAGTAATAGATACTTTTGAATTCTGAAATGTTTACATTTTAGGTCAACCTGGAGAGAACAGAGTCACACTGATCTTTTTCCTCGGGGGTGTCACCTTTGCTGAAATCGCCGCCCTGCGCTTTCTCTCCCAGTTGGAAGATGGAGGCACTGAATATGTAATTGCGACCACTAAACTGATGAATGGAAGCAGCTGGATAGAGGCTCTCATGGAAGAGCCCCGATAAGTCCAGAAGACATTCCGTGGCCAGGATAGTGGTTTTGTGTTGAGGACTAAACCAGTGTTGTCTGAGTGCTTGCTCTTTCCTGCGGATCTGTGTCGCCAGTCTCTTACCAGTTTGACTCCTAAGGCAAGTTTTGTTTCCTTCTGAAAAAAATCAGCTTTGAAGAGTTTCTTGGTGTAATGAAGTTTCTGCCTTCTCTGATTTAGCTGCATCTGTGCAGGTTCTCTGCCTACGAAGGACTGAAGAGCAAGCAGCTTCTGCCAATTACCCATACAAAGGCTCTTCTGACTGCACATTAACTGCAAGACATGCCAGTGGAGATGCCGCTAATGGGGCTTCCATTTTCTTCCATGTCCGTTGAGGCCCCAACATCACACTGATCCTTCTGTGAGCAGTCGCAGCCCTTAAGTTTCTTCACGCTGCTCTGTGACCATGGTAACTGCCTTATGCACCTCGTTAGCATACCGGCTGTACTCAAGTTCACACATCACTTTTGCTCAAATATACTCAGCTGGTGACTGCAACCACTGTGGTGAGTCTCAGTCAGATCCACGACTGAGAGCAGGCATATTGGTGAAGCTGGGAGTTCCTCATCTCAGCATCTGGAGAAGTTAAGGGTGCCAAGCATGGGACCCAGTGATGGCTTTTCTGCCATCATCCAGGTCTGCAGAAAATGTAGCCTGTCTAACCATTGCCCAGCTCCCATCCAGGGTGTGGCTGCTCTGGTTAACTACTAACCACAAGTTTTCTTCTCATTTTCTTCATGTAGAATTTGGAACAGTTCACTGCACATTGTAAGTGAAAGAAATTGCATATTAAAAAATACAGGAATAAAAGGTGGCAAAGATAATGTTTGTTTCTCATGGAATGAATTTAGCCTTGATATTCAGTATTCGGAGGGGTGGGGAGTGAGGTGGGGGTGATTCCCAAATGGGAAAACCTTCTTGGCTCAGAACATTCTTTTTCAGGCTCTTGTTCTTCCAGGGAGTTGGTTTTACCTTCGAGCCTCAACCCTGGCTAGTCTCAGCTGCCAGGGAGTGCAGCCCACCTTGTCTTGAGTGTTTTCCACCCCCGGGATTCTGTTCAAGTTTGGTCAAGTCTCTTTGGCTGGGGTGTTTATCCCATGAACAGATGCCCAGTTGTAATCTCAAGTATCTGCATTTGTTTCTGAGTCTATATTTGTTTGCTCAGAGAATAGCAAGGTCAGCTCCAAAAATGTACTCAGCACAATACTTTTTTTAAAACCACACACTTACTTCATCTGTGAACAAATAGAAATGGTGATAATCATATTATGCCCTTTGATGCACTCAAAGCTGTCTTTGTCTCTTAAGAATGTGTTCTAACAGCTGGGCTATGGTGGCGCACACCTTTAGTCCCAGCACTTGGGAAGCAGAGGCAGGTGGATCTCTGAGTTCAAGGCCAGCCTGGTCTACAAAGCGAGTTCCAAGACAGGCTCCAAAGCTACAGAGAAACACTGTCTCAAAACACCAAAAAAAAAAAAAATGCTCTGAGAAAGGTTGTGGGACGGACACTTATTCTTAGAGAGGTGGATTGTTTATATTGCCATGTCTGCACTTTCGCTGAGTTGGTTAGATGGACCATTCTGCTGCACCAGCCATCCTGATTAAAGTCATCTACATAGACACTATTAATTTACACATCTTCTGTTTCCTTAAATCCAGAAACTAGGTACTTTAACTGGATTGACTGTAGAGCAAGAGAGAAACGGTCTAGGGAGGGACGATTGAAATGGGAGGTTTCTTGAGAACAAGGAAGGTCTCCATATGAACCCTATTACATTCCTGCTCTGCTTGTTTAGAATCAGGTTGTGATTGATCACTGCATGCTTGTTCTCATGTACACAAAGGCTAGCTAGAAGCTGGGCACAGTGGCCCATCTTTACTGTGAGGCAGAAAGATTGAGAGTTGTAGGTCAGCTGGGTTATATGTTAGACCCTGCGAGGGGAGACTCGTTCAGCGTGTGGTAGGAGAGCTGCTGAGCACATACATGGGCCTGGCTTCCATTCTCAGGACAACACGGAGAAAAAGAAAAGGGCCCTGGTAGCTTGACCCTAGGAGGGAAATTTGTGTTCTGAGGAGTTAAATTCAAGCAAATATACTTCTGTTGTTGAGACAAGGTCTCCCTCTATAGCCCAGGCTGGCCTTAAATGTAGCCCTTCTGCCTCAGACTACCAAGTGCTAGGATTTACATGCCCAAAACATTTTAAACAGCAAAATGAACTAAGCATCCGAAGCAAAGGGGCTGTGATAAAAGATGGCAAAGCGCGGGATGCAGCATACATCCCTGTCTCTAGGGATGTTGCCTCTAGGTGGTCAGTGGTGCTCCAGGAGCTGATGCATTATTTATGACAGAGGAGGCCTCTCAGGCCGTAGAAGGAAAAGGCAGTATGTAAAATTTCTCATTTATAAATGGATTAATGTGAATTTTATTCCACGTTATAGTTCTTTATGTAGCTTATGTAGAGTGTGTGCATTTATACACATTCACACCATAGCAATCAGAGGACAGCATTCAAGGAGTTGGTTCTCTCTTCATGTGAGTCCTGAGGATCGAATTCAGGTTGTCAGGCCGGGTGGCAAGCTCCTTTACCTGCTGAGCCAATCTTGTCAGCCCCCATGTAGTATTTCTTTGCTTAAGTTACTCTGTTGCTATAAAATACCCCAGTTTGGCAGGTTTGTAGACGGTACAAAGCATAAACCACATAACTGCCTTGAGGCGTCCATTTGGAGACTGGGTGGGGAGGGATCTGAACTTCTCTGTCTGCCACTCTGGTATAGGTGATGGCATTCATCTTAGCCAAAGCATGGGAGCCCTTCAGATGTCCAGTCCTCTGGGGGAGCAATTACTACGCACTGGCTTCCTGAGCTGCGTGTTGATGTTCTGCCCCTGTTTTCGAGCAGGCTTCACCAAGGCAATGATTTGATAATAAGAGATCCTGATTAAATTAAGGGGCCATTTGCTTCTGGATGATGATGTTATAAAAGGTTGACGTCCACACTGCCTGTTCTTCTAAAGGTCAAAAAATAGTCTTAATAATCTAGTATAAGCAGAAGAATAAGCTGTATATCTGTGCTTGCTTGTCCTTGGTAGTTACTTCGGGGAAAGGAAAAGTGTCCTTTGCTTTCCCAGCTGGCTCCTTTTGTTGCCTCACTTCTGTAGATGAACTTGGAAGTGGCCCGGGTAATGAGTTTGCAAACTGCTAAATTCTGTAAATTAGGATCATGCACCCTGGGGCATGAGTCTCACGTACACATGTGCGTGTTCACACTTGCCTTTCTTAAGACAGTGGCTTTTCCATTAGGAAGACAATCGTGGTGAACGTGCAGTGGTTCTGTCAGGCCTCTTGACAGGACTGCTTTCAGTTTTAGACACATTGGCGGTACAGCCCAGCTGGGGTGTTTAGACAAGCAAGACAAGAAGGGGCTTGAAATATCCCCTGGGGTACCAGTTGTTCAGCCCATTTAAGTCAGGAGCCCTGAAAATCGCTGATGCCTCGTCCTGTAGACTGGAGGTGACACAGGCAGAGGGCGGGCACGGCTGCCAGGGCCCCGCCTGGCCTAGGATTGCCTGTGCGCAGCTCCCTGGGAGCTCAGAAACCACACAGAGGTTGTAATTGGTTGCTAGACCACACCTAGTTGTTGAGTGCTTCAGCTGCCTGAAGACCTCAGCTCTGCCGAGATCGCTGCAGTGTGCACAAGTCTCTCTTCAGCAGACCAGAGAGAAGCTGTGGAAGCTGTGGTGGGGAGGAGTCGTGGAAACTTTGCCAAGTGAGTAAATTGGGAAGAGTGGGAAGCTAGACACCAGCATTGAGGGGATCTGCCAGGCAAGGCAGCAGTGAAGATGAGCTAGTTTGTGACTCTTAGTGTCTGAGGTGAAATCTGCACGGATGGGGTGTGTAAGACATATTGGGAATGATGTGAGCCCAAGATCAAATTGGTACCTATTATTTGGCGCCCTTCGGTTTTAATCCTGACTGGCCGCAAGGCAAGCATGCTGGGGCACACAAACACACACACACACCCTTAAAGTATACTGTAGAAAGGCCTGGGGTCAGGAGGATGACGGAGGAAATGAGCAACGGTCTGCTGCTTCTCCACTCCAAGGCAGGCCCACAGACAGGGCTGCAGCTTGGGTGACGGGAAAATCAAGCTATCCTCCACCAGCCCATTAGCGGCACCAGCTGCATTAAAAATGCAAGAGGTGGTGGCAAGAGAGGGCTGCGTTGGAGTCTAATGCAAAGCTAGGACTGGGAAAGACCAGGCCCTTTCCCCTTTTGGAGCTCAGATGCCAGTGAGAGGGAGTGTGGGCAACTACTGTTTTAGAAGGCACATTTTCCAGTGCAGAACAGCACTTGAGGCTTCTTTGGCCCTGGAAGAGTGCTGTCCCGCCACACGCACCCTACGCGGGCTCAGGCTCCAGGTCTCTGCAGGGCGATGCCTGCCTCGTCCACCGTCCACGTGTTGCAGCTGCTGCGGGAACTGCTCGCCTTCGTGCTCCTCAGCTACACGGTGCTCATCGGGGCGCTGCTGCTGGCCGGCTGGACCACCTACTTCCTGGTGCTGAAGTGACAGCGCCCGGCCGGCTCGCCCGGCTCCGCCCCGCCCCGCGGAGCACGTTCCCCTCTGCAGGCCCCGCCCCGCCCCAGCCCACCGCCCGCGTCCCGGCGCGCGACCCGCTCCGCACCCCCCGAGTCCCGGGGACCTGTCGCGTCCAGCGCCGAAGTGCGAGCGGTTGAACGCCAGGTGCGACCGTTACAGCCGTTTCCTAGCGCTCCTGTCCCGCCCTTTCCGCCTGTCCAATCGCAACTGCGTCCTCTAGTGGGGGCGTGACCATGAAGCCCAGGGTACCCGGGAGCCGGCCGAGCTCGCCCGGCTGCTCGCTATGCTGCGTCACTTCCGGCGTGTACGTCCGCCGTCCGTCCGCCGCGGGATGGCTGCTCTGAGAAGTTGGATGTCCCGGAGCGTGGCCTCCCTGTTCAGGTACGGCAGTGGCCGCAGAGGGCTGGAAGCGGCGGAGAGGAGCCGGGCCCGCGGCGCCGGCCTGCGCGTTGGCCGCGGGTCGCTGCAGGCCGCCGCGTCCCGCCTCCCTCCGAAGTTTGCGGAGGGTGCCGCCTCCGTCCCCGTCCCCCATCACGGGCTTCCGAAAGCGGGTCCTCCCAGCCCGTTGACCCTCCAGTCAGCTCAGAGGCCCGAAAGACACCGAGGGACAGACGGGCCACGGCGTTGGCTCAGGCCTGGGCTGGCAGCGCGTTGTTAGCGCACGACCCAGGAGACTCGGGCGCCCGACGCCAGCGGCGCTCTCCGGCTGCTGCCCCCAGGACCTTTCTCGCAGGGACCTTTCGAGACTCCGGAATCCAGGCCCAGGGTTTAGGGCTAAGTCCTGCGAGCACGAGAGTTTTATCTTGGCGTCAGGTTGCTAAGCAGCTCGGAGGCAACTTTTAAACTTCTCCACCTAGTGGAAAGCGCCTGTTGCTCTTGCTGGCCTGGAACTCACATCGCTTGCCTCGACTCCCGAGTGCTGAGACTAAAGGCTTGCCACCACCTCTATCCGTTTCTGGGACTTAATAGGCCACCCTGTGGTTTATTTTCTTGGAAGACCGCTGCTACCTCCTCATTTAGCCGCTGCTTGAACCGACTCCTGCAGACCCGAGAGCCTTTTACACATTGATTTGTGCTTTTTAAAATTTGACTTATATTTCCAGGTATGGACAGCGTGTTCCCGTCGTGGCTAACTCAAAGAAACGCTGTTTCTCAGAATTGATAAGACCATGGCACAAAACTATGTTGGCTGGATTCGGCGTGACCCTGTGTGCAGTCCCTA